CCTCCTTCCTGGGCGGCGACGGCATGCTGGTTCGCGCCGACCGATCAAACAACACCAAGCTCGTGCTTGTCGCCGAATTCCCAATATTTGGCATTGTGACGGGACTGGCAAGAATAAAATTGCAACACTCCAAGTCAGGGGGTGAAGCTCTCTTGATTGCTACAAGAGTTGCCAGGCTGAGCTTGGTCCAGTGGGATCCCGAGAAACACGCACTCGAGGATATCTCCATTCACTACTACGAGAAAGAAGAACTAGAGGGCTCGCCATTCGATGGTCCATTGAACAATTACCGCACATATCTTGCTGCCGATCCAGGTTCGCGATGCGCCGCCCTCAGGTTTGGCCCCAGATACATCGCCTTTCTACCCTTCAAGCAAGTCGATGAGGACATAGATATGGATGACTGGGATGAAGATGTGGATGGACCTCGGCCGGCAAAAGAGCCGTCAGCTGCAGCGGCCACAAATGGAACTAGCAACATAGCAGATGTACCATACTCAACATCATACGTCCTCCCTCTACCGCAGCTTGATCCCAGTCTCCTTCATCCTGTGCACCTCGCCTTCTTGCATGAGTACAGAGAGCCCACCTTTGGCATCATATCCTCGACACAGCGCCGCTCCCACACCTTACCTCGCAAGGACCACTTCTCTTACAAGGTCTTCACGCTCGACTTGCAGCAGAGGGCCTCGACCGCGATTCTCTCCGTCAACAACCTACCCCAGGATCTCTTCAAAGTCATCGCCCTGCCAGGTCCCGTCGGTGGCGCTCTACTCGTCGGCACAAACGAGTTGATCCATATAGATCAGTCTGGAAAGCCGAACGGTGTGGCCGTCAATGCCTTCACCAAGGAAACCACAAACTTTCCTCTTGCAGATCAGTCTGATCTGGATTTGCGGCTCGAGAATTGCTACATTGAACTCATGTCTGCAGAGAATGGGGAGTTGCTCATGGTCCTGAGCGACGGACGACTGGCCATCATCACTTTCAAGATCGATGGACGCACAGTCTCAGGAGTCAGCGTTAAGCTCGTCCCAGCCGAAGTTGGCGGCAATGTTGTTCAATGCAGTGTTTCCTCCATCTCGAAGCTCAGCAAGAATGTTTTCTTCCTAGGTACTACGGGAAGTGACTCGCTTATTCTCGGATGGACACGAAAGCAGGCGCAGAATGCACGCAAAAAAACACGGTTGGTCGACGATTCATTCGAGTACGACCTGGACGATGAGGATATGGATGATGACGACGACGACGATCTGTATGGTGAAACGACGACAACAACGATTCAACACGGTGCGACTGCCAATGGGGTTTCTAAAGGAGGAGACTTGAGTTTCCGCATCCATGATTCCTTGCTGAGCATAGCGCCTATCAAGGATATGGTGTCAGGCAAGCAAGCGTTCGTCCCAGATAGTGAGGAGGAGAAGAACTCAATCGGTGTCGTATCTGACCTGCAGCTCGCCTGTGCGGTGGGTAAGGGCAACGCTGGCGCTGTTGCTATCATGAATCAAAACATCCAGCCGAAGGTCATCGGCAAATTCGAGTTTCCAGAGGCTAGAGGATTCTGGACCATGTGCGTCCAGAAACCCATTCCGAAATCCTTGCAAGGCGATAAGGGGGCCAATGCCGCAGTTGGCAGCGAGTTTGACGCTTCATCTATATACGACAAGTTCATGATTGTTTCTAAAGTCGATCTAGATGGATACGAGACGTCAGATGTTTATGCTCTTACTGGTGCAGGCTTTGAGGCGTTGTCAGGGACCGAATTTGATCCCGCGGCTGGCTTCACCGTGGAGGCGGGTACTATGGGAAAACATCTGAGGATCATTCAGGTTCTCAAATCGGAAGTACGGTGCTACGATGGAGGTAAGTTGTGTTGCACTCTGTCTGAAGTTTCGCCATCGTCGCTAAACGTTAATCAGATCTCGGGTTGAGTCAAATCCTTCCGATGCTCGATGAGGATACCGGTGCTGAACCACGGGTGATCAGCGCCAGCATCGTTGACCCTTACCTTCTTCTCATCCGGGACGACTCGAGCATTATGGTGGCTCAGATAGACAGCAATTGTGAGTTGGAGGAGATGGAAAGAGAAGACGACACATTTCTCTCTACGAAGTGGCTTGCCGGATGCCTGTATAAAGACACCCACGACCTCTTTGGCCAAAAGACAAAAAATGAGGCCACGACAGAAGACCGCAACATTTTCATGTTCTTGCTGAGCGCGGCAGGGGCTCTCTATGTGAGTATCAAACATCATCCGGCTGGGGCACATTTTGCTAACCTATTGACAGATATACGCTCTCCCTGACCTTTCCAAGCCAGTCTACGTTGCTGCTGGCTTGACCTACGTCCCCCCATTCCTCTCTGCAGACTATGCCGTCCGAAGAGGCACCGTACAAGAGACGCTGACTGAAATCTTGATGGCCGACCTGGGGGACGCTACCGCAACTTCACCACACCTCATCGTAAGTCTTCTCGCATTGAAGGAGATGGTAGCTTCCGCTAATCTTTTGTAACAAAAGCTTCGTCATGCAAATGACGATCTCACTATTTACGAACCGATTCGTCTCACAAAACAGGACGAATCCGTTGGTCTGGCCAAAACTCTTCATTTCCGCAAAGTCAACAATCCTTCTCTTGCTAAGAGTCCTGTCGAAGTTGCCGATGACGATGCCAACGAGCAACCGCGGTTTGTTCCACTTCGGGCCTGCAGTGACATCAACGGTTACAGCACCGTCTTCTTGCCTGGCGCCTCGCCGTCCTTCATCATCAAATCCGCCAAGAGCAGTCCGAAGGTTGTCGGCTTGCAGGGTATTGGTGTGCGCGGCATGAGCTCATTCCATACAGAAGGCTGCGAGCGCGGCTTCATTTACGCTGATTCCGAGGGCCAAACGCGAGTCACACAGCTTCCCACGGACACGAACTTTGCCGAACTGGGCGTTTCTGTGCGCAAAATTCCCGTGGGAGATGCGGTTGGCCTGATTGCCTATCATCCACCAATGGAAACCTACGCCGTTGCGTGCAGTGTCTCTGAGGCCTTTGAGCTGCCGAAGGATGACGACTACCACAAGGAGTGGGCTAAGGAAACCACAATTATATACCCCCGGACCGAACGCGGCATCATCAAGCTCATGAGTCCCACCACCTGGTCCGTCATCGACACGGTAGAGCTCGAGCAGCACGAGGTAGCGATGTGCATGAAGACGCTTCACTTAGAAGTCTCCGAAGAGACCAAGGAGCGCCGTATGCTCATCACCATCGGGACCGCTATTAACCGCGGCGAGGACCTGCCCATCCGCGGCCGTATCCTCGTCTACGATGTCGTTCCCGTCGTTCCGCAACCTGGCCGCCCGGAGACGAACAAGAAGCTCAAGCTCGTTGCTAAGGAGGAGATTCCCCGCGGTGCCGTCACCGCTATCTGCGAGGTGGGCTCCCAAGGACTCATGCTCGTCGCCCAGGGACAGAAGTGCATGGTACGCGGTCTTAAGGAGGACGGCACGCTATTGCCTGTCGCCTTCATGGACATGAATTGCTACGTGACGGCGGTCCGCGAGGTCCGCGGCACTGGTTACTGTCTCATGACGGACGCTTTCAAGGGTGTCTGGTTCGTTGGGTACGCCGAGGAGCCGTACAAGATGATGCTCTTTGGCAAGAGCGCGGGCAAGTTCGAGGTGTCGACGGCCGACTTTGTTGTTGCCGGCGATGAGCTGCATATTGTTGTCTGCGACAAGGATGGCGTGATCCACGTGATGCAATTCGATCCAGAGCGTAAGTCCAACTCTTGAGCACTATCCAGCCGTCCACAATCTCAGAAACTAATACTTTTTAAAGATCCTAAATCACTCCAGGGTCATCTCCTCTTGAACCGTGCTTCCTTCTCTGCGGCACCAAACCACCCAACAGCAACCCTCTCCCTCCCCCGAACCTCAGCATCTCCATCACCCGCCAATGCCTCCAAGAACCCGCCCACGACGCTCCTCCTGGCCTCCCCGACAGGCGCCCTCGCCTCCCTCAATCCCCTCGGGGAGCAAGCCTACCGCCGCCTGACGTCCCTCGCCAACAGCATCGCCGGCGCCGTGCCCCAGGCCGCGGCGACGAACCCCAAAGCCCATCGCCTACAGCCCCTCGACGCGCGCACCCCCGGCGTCGACACCAGCGCGGGCCGCAGCATCGTCGACGGCGCGCTCCTCGCCCGCTGGAACGAGCTCGGCGCCGGGCGCCGGTTCGAAGTCGCCGGCAAGGGCGGCTACGGCGACGTCCTCGAGGTCAGGGGCGAGTTGGAAGGTGTCTTGGGATGGAGCGGCATGGCCTACTTTTAAAGAAGCAGAAACTTTTCAGCCATTCTTTTAGATAGATCTAAAAATGAGCCGAGAATTTGGAATTTAGGCGAAAGTTTGAGAGAACAGAATGGGGGGTCGAGAACGAAAAGCAAGACAAGGAGCCAGCTGCTGATGGGTTTTCTGGTCTTCTGGCAGCGTTCTCTTACTAGGGTTAAGCAAACATCCGAGATAGAGCAAAGCGTAGCGCTCGTGTAGTATCCTCCATTCCAAGGCGTCATTTTTGCGATCGACAAAGACTTTGTGAAATAATGTTATCACAGCGAGTACACTAGGATGTGGGACGATTATTGACGCACATGGTGTAGAAGATGTAGAAAATGTTCATACTGATGGGTATACTATTTACTTAAACTAAGAAAATTTCCGCTTCTTTTGATGATGCGGTATGTCATTTGCAAGCTCTTGGTGTTTGGCAGAATGTTGATGCCAACTCGGCCCCATCAACGTCTTTGCTCATTGACAGTCAAATGCATACTGCGCACTCTGTCTCACTCTAGCAATTTTCCCGCCATGAGGCATCCTCGTTCGGGTACGAAACCTCTAAATCGTACACGTGCCGCAATAGGCGACACTAACTGAAATGCTAGTGAAAGTCGGCGTTTGTTAAATCATTAAGTCTTAACGCCATGTAGAAAACAATCGAATCGTCTTTGCGAAAGACATCTACGCCGCAGCGTGGTTCTTGCGACGGATGCTGCCGAAACGACGCTTCAGGCTGTCGCCGAAATGCTTGCCGGTGCTGTTGTGGCGATGGACGTCGGCGCTGTTGGAATGTCCCTTAGGCAACTCGGAGGGGCCGGGTCTTCCGTCTGCAGCATTGCTGACACTGCGCTGACGTACCATTGCCCCGTTGTCCTTACGTGACTGAGCGTTGATGCCGGAGCGCATCTCGTATTCTGCGGGGCTGTTGCCGAGAGAAGCCTTACGCATGCGCTTCTTCTCCTTAAGGTCTCTCTCGTAGGTGTAAGAAGGCTCTCCCTTTCCCTTCAAATCATCAGGATGATATTGCTGTCTATCGTTAGTCTCAAACTCACGTTGCAAATTTTCAGGGCCGGTGTCGACTTACGATTCCATCCCATCTCTTGTAAGCGCCGCCTTGGTTATTGGGCTCACGCATGAGATCGGCTCCTTCCTCATAGTTCATAACATTGCCGCTCATGTCAGTGCCACCGGCGGGAATAAGACCGGTACCTTGCAAAGGCACATGCTTGTCCAGGGAATCCTGAATGTATTCGCGAGGCGTAGCCCTCAAGGCCTCCATGTTGGACTCCCTCACAGCCTCAACAGGCGCATACTTCTTGTTGCGGTTGCGGGATGCCAAAGTGGCATCATAGGGACCGCCGTGATGGTAGACGCCGCCGATACTGTCGAGCGAGTCAATGGTGTCCGTCACGGGGCCATATTTGCGCGTTCTAAGGTGAGGCGCGCGGTCCGCGGCGCGCTGCTCGCGCTTGATCATGTCTAGAGGTCGATGAGACATATCGCCGGGGAATCTCTGGTTGATGGAACTGGAACGTCTGAGACCGCTGGAGCCTTGGTGTGAGTTCACGCTCTTGCTGCGCTGAACTGAAGAATCGGCTTGGGTTCCGTTTGCCTCAGCGATAGAGCGAGTGCGTGCGCTGATGCTTCGAGTGACACTTGTGCTTGGTGGAAAGCGATTGCTTGGCGAAGACGGGCTTCGGAGACCGTTGCTTCGAACACTGGTACTGCGGCCTAGGGGATGGCCTGGTGAAGACGGTGATGTTGGGGAAGCAGGTCCTCTAGACAGGGACACCGAAGCGCGCTGATAAGTCGGTGAAAATGGATTGGATGAATGAAAGCTGGATCGCGTTGGGCTTGCGGATGCAGGCGGGGTGGGATACGATGAGGTGCGACTGTGAGCTTTATGGCTGGTCTGGCTCTTGTCGCTATTCTGAACTGGTTCTTTGCCTTTCTTCTTCTGCGAGAAAGTTCGAAGCAGTGGATCGGGGTTTATGAAAGAGCTTCCGGGACCTGTTTCTTGGCTTGGTTCGGGAGCAGTAAGAGGGTCGAGCAAGTATGCTTTAGCCTACAAGAGTTGAGTTATTTGATGAGTTGGATGTGGAATGGTAGAATAAATGTGAGTCAAGGTCAAGTAACATGAGGAGATAGGAAGTATAAGAGCAACCAGAGGCCGCGCATGCTTGTGTGGAGGGACCCGTATTATTTACGTCGTCAAGGGCTTAGCTGCAGTACGAATGATGTGAGGCAGAGTTCGGAGCTGTTCTTGGAAATCCGGCAGATTGGATGGGCAGTGACGCAAGAAGGGACTCCAAAGCAGCGTGGTCGGGGTGGCTTGAGCCGTGCATTGCAGGGGACCCGTCCGTACCTTAGCGACCAGCACATCTAAGTTGGCAGGGGTAGCTTGGACGGAGAGGGTGGCTTTGAAGAACAAGTTCGGGCGCAAGCAGCTGGGGCCGTCGGGTGCCCTGACAGGATAGAAAGGATGGGCGAGACGGGACGATCGGCTTCGACCAAGGCTGACGACACTTGAACAAGCTGACTGGTTGGGCCGAGACTTGCTTGGGTGCCCGGGAGTGACGGAATTTGGAACGTTGGGAGACGGGCTAGAAGGGCAATGATAAGGCCGCAGATGCGACGGTGACGGGATCGGAAATGTGGAGAAAAGCGAGAGCAGAAAAAGAACCGTGGGCGATGACGATGTTGGCAGTAGCGCGCAGTCGGGAAATGAGCAGAAAGATCATATTGACAACAGCAGCAACTGGCAGTTGTAATAGTGCGCCCTGCGCTGGGGTAGATGGAAGTGAATTGGAGTTTGTCCAGGCCATTGACTTACCCACTGCTTGTCGGATCCGTCCATGGCTACTGACGTCGATGCGACGATATCGGTGAATGGGTGTGTATCCTTACGGTCAGGTAATCGGGTTACCCGGTGCACAGGCGAAGTCGCGAAGACGGAGTCAAGGTAGGGATAGAGATGAGCAAGTGGTCTAGCGGGCGCCTCGAAATAGGTCGGCAGCTCGTTTACTGGAGATTGCGATGTTTATTTCGAATGATCCGAAAGCGAGTCCGTCCTTTGCCAAGACAATGAAGTGATCTCGGTGTGGACAGTGTATGCGACACACCGAAGGTGAGAATGCTGATGGTAGTGGGACGGTTGAGGTGTTGTGTCAAAAAAGAAGCATGCGAGATGCAAAGCGAAGCAATGCAATGCAGACAAGAGACGAGAGTTGAGAGAACGTGGAATCCCAGGTCGCACCAAAGTAGGCGCGGGTGCCTTTTTGATAGTTTCCAGCGTTGTCCGTCGTCTCGTTTGGTGGGAAAGAAGTAAGGTGCTTGCCAGGCGAGGGGCAATAGAGTCATGAGCATGAGGGTGGGCGAGATGCCGACGACAGGTACAGCCAGTCTAGGCCCGTTCTTACCTTGGACCTGTAGACCCCGTCCTTGTAAGGCAGGTCGGCTGCATGTGAGTGAGACTACAAGCATTCGTACCTTAAGATGTACATAGCAAGGTAAAGTAAGGGTAGGTGAATGTGAGTAAGTGAGTGTGTTCAGTGTGCGAATGCAGCAAGCGCAGAGAATTCTGCGCTTGTTGCTTGGACTTCCGGGAAGATGCCAGCATGGGAAGTGACCATCATGGGACCTGCGCTGACTGGGGCAGCCGAGCTTTCCATTGGTGACCTGTTCACCCACTACATGCCTTACTGCATAAGGTAGCAACCTCGTTTGTGGTGTTTTTTGTGATTTGTGGCTGCAGTGACAAGGACCCGGACTTGGGAACTTTCATGTCTGGTGGGAAGGAGGGGAGGGGATGGAGGGGACAGAAAGGGACTGGACCGAGACCGCATGACTGAATGGTGTGGGCAAGTACGCGAGACGGCGGGGAACCTGCTACGGAGTACCTACCTTACCTTTACTGTCCGAGGGTGCCTTCCATTTGCAGTGTTGGGCAATTTTCTCAAAGGACGGGAAGTCACTGTCCAGGATAATAGTACCAATTGATTGGAGGCTCTCCCTCGTACGATACCTGCTGCCGTACCTTGCATTATCTTGCCTTCCTTCCTGAACAGGTTGAAGAAAGAATATCAGCACCCATCGCCACTTTCTCCTCGACATGTTCGCTGATCAAGAACTTCGCATTGTCCCTTGCTCCCTCCAGCATCACGAGATCGGCGCCGAACCACTTCTACGTACTATCCCCCAGTCTCTCCGACATATCTCACGTGCGGTTCCATCTTCTCCTCTTCCCCTCAGCGGCTCCGCTCAGACTGTCACGATCCCTGCAGGGTCTTGTAACGGCATCCTCGAGGGACCGCGAATAGGTAGGGCAAGACACGAGAGTAAACGAAACATTTGCCCGCTAAATTGACTTAGCTCAGCCACAGGCACCCGATAACGGGACACGCGGACCCTTGAACAACGTCTGCTGCACAGTAGTCGGACACCGCATTGGTTACTGAGCCCTACGTCATGCCATTGGCAAAGTAAAAAAGTCCTCTAGCCAGGGGATCGGCAACCGCAACATCCCACTTCACCTTTCCACCAATACACCTAGCTTCTACTCTGTACGGAGTACACTATGTACCCTTTAGCTTCCTGGTATCCCGCTAATGTCGCAGGGCTGATGTGGCAGCCGCAAAATCATGAAAACTATTCAGACTTAGTCTTGGTAGTGCTGCGCAAAAATAGAGTCGGACTGCGCGGACATTTGGACATAAACGGGACCGATACCGGCACCCAGTATGAACAAAGGGACGGTGATGCAACGGAGCCTCCGTGGCCGAAGCGTCCACGTACGCTCCATCCGCCTCCGATGTTTCCACTCTGTAAGCATTCAACACGCAAGGGACTCGCGGCATATTCAGGCCGCCCAACGGGGGCATACGGGAAGGGTCCGGTCCACGTCCCATCGCCCCTCTTGTCAGGGCAATGCTTGCTCGCGATACCTGGAGGGAACACGTCGCCCAACCGGGCACGGCCTTCACCGCCAGCAACTAAGAGCAATGAGCTTAAAATTACGGTCATCGGCATTTCCTTACAGGCCAAAAGAAAAATCGAGAAATGGGGCTCTCATTTGCGCAACCTTATGCCGAACTCATGGCAGAGAGAGACTCGCGATCAAAGTATTGCCAGATAATGTGCTAGAGGAACCTCCCAAATTCGTGAACACGTCGTAAGGCAAGAAAAGCCTTTCTGTAGCCTGGATGCCTGGCACCAGTGGGTGCAAAGGCGTTGCTCTGCGTTGCTCTGCGTTGCTCTGCGTTGCGTGCTTAGGCGCACCTCGATCGAGATCTTGCAACAAAGCTTCGGCCGTGTTGTGCTTCTCAACACAGGCAGCCCGCTTCACCCTCTTCCACATACGGGCACCAAATGCCTTCGTCCTGTATTGCCACCCTTCCCAATCACCATTAGACGCTTTCAGGCGACGAGGTGTTGGATCAAGACTTGCTCAATGCCTATTGGCTCGATTACCTTGTCACTGACGCAAAAACACGCATCACAAGGATCTTCTCTCCGGCCTTCTTCTTGTCGGTCCCTGGCACCCGGTAATGGCTCTGGTGGACTACTCGTCTTCTGACTCAGCTTCAGAGGCCGGGTCACCTCCGGCCAAGCGGCGCAAAGAGGGTACTGATGGCTCCGTGCTAGCCGGCTCTGCATCTGGCGCCGGCGCCGGCGGTCAAAAAGGAACGCGGCACAGCCCCCCGGCCTCCTCGACTACGAAGGAGACAATTGGCGGCACATTGACGCTTCCGCCCCTCCCAGCCGAGTTCCACGACCTGTACGCTTCTACGGTCCGAAATGCCACTGCCGACAACCCAGCCCTGCACCAGGGCCGAAAGAGGACCATCCCCCATATTGTCGGCAACTGGCCTTCTCACGTATACGTCGAGTGTGAGTCTCGACTGTTTCATTCTCCCATTGCCACACCCACCTGAAATCATCACAACTAATCTCTGCGTGTAGGGCATCCCTCTGCGGACCAGCATTCTCTCCTCACTGCTCTGCTGGATGAAATCGCGCCTCTGCTTGGCACGCGGGAGCTGACCTCGCTCTTAACTTCGGACCTCAACGCCCCTCTGCCACTCCACATCTCGCTCTCGCGGCCTCTGTCCCTGACCGCGGCTCAAAAGGACGCCTTCCTCTCCGCCTTGACGTCTTCATTGTCCTCCGCCACCGGCGAGTTCAGTCTATCGCCCCGTGGCCTGGGCTTCTTCAAATCGCCAGACTCGGACCGGGCCTTTCTCGTACTCCGCGTAGCATGCCCAGCCGCCTCCTCGCAAGGTGACACCAGCACCACCGGCAGCAACCCGCAGCTCCGTACGCTTCTCAACAAATGTAACGATGTCGCCGTCCGTTTCGGCCATCCGCCCTTGTACCAAGCCCACGCGACGGAGCTGGTCGACGACGCGTTCCACGTGAGCATCGGCTGGGCGTTTGGGCTCCCCGAAGAAGACGAGTGTCTGCGCACCTATGGCCTGCTGAAGACGCCGCAGTTCCGTGGTATTCGAAAGTGGCAGATTGATGTCTCGGGTGTCAAGGCCAAAATTGGCAACGTTGTCACCCACATCCCTTTGAATAACTCGTCCAAGAAGAGAAGGAACAGTATCACCGAGGACGGCGTGTACAAGTAAAGCATTCATAGACATTTGCATGATACCAAGAAACGGAAGCCGAATTTTGAGGTGCTGGCATCGATTTGTATGTACAAACTGGTCACGATACTAGTCTAAGGAGCATTCTGGCTCCGTGAAAATAAGAATAGCAAAACGCCGTTTGCCCGCGCCCGGCCATGCAAAGTATAATGATATGCCATGGTAAGATGTTCAATAACGAAAACTAAACAATGGAATAACCGACAAATCTACAACTCATCTACAATTCGTCTACGTCCGGCCGCTCAAAGTGCCAAGTTCTAGGCGTGAGGGGCAGGCCGACAAAGTACTGGTAGAATCGCAGTATCTCGAAAATAACAACATTGAAGCTGTTTGCCGGTTGTCAGTCTTCTGTTCCCCGCCGTTTTTACTCTGTGGTGATGTTTTAAAACTTACATAGTCTTGGGAGCCTGAACCCATCGGCGGACAACAAACTTCAAGGCCTTGTAGATGCGGCCAAACTCTTCGTCAAACATGTCCGCCAGGGTGTCTTCCTCGAGAGGCTCGTCCTCGCCGTACTCGTCCTCGGGATCGACCTTCTTGGGCTCCGCGTCCGGTGAGGTCACCACGTTGTGCGGCTTCTTGGCCCGGTCGGGGATCGGGCTGGACGCCTTGGCTGCCGCAGCAGCGGCGAGGGCCTCCTCGGAGTCAACCATCGCGCGGAATTTGTTAATGGCCGCGAGGGAGCTGCTGATCCGGGCATACGTGTTGAACAACGCCACCAGCTCGGTGCGCTTCAGGACGGGAATATCCTCGCTGGCATTGTCGAACTCGAACAGAACCTTGAGCGCGGTTCCGTAGCCATTGGTCTGCAGCTTGCCCCAAAGACGGCACTTATCGCAGCCAACGCAGTCCATGACGCGGCTGACATTACGGAAGCGGTTGCGGAAGTCCTCCTTTAGCGACGGACCCTCACCGTTCTTAAACATGAGGCTCTCGTCAAAGATCTGAGGCACGCTCGCCGCTCCTTCGGTGACCTCGAGGACCTTGGACCGCGTCGCGGCATCCTGGTCGATATCGCCCGAGCAGAAGGTGTAGTCGCGACCCTGGAGGTAGGGACCGAGCTTGGCGACAGCGCGGGTGACGAGGGCGTAGTTGAAGTAGAGGTTGCTAATTCGCTCGGGATGGGTGTGCAGGCGGCCGCGGTAGCATGCCACGTTGGGCTGCCATTCACCGGTGGTCTGGTTGAGGAAATCCCAGCAGAGGTGGGTGCTGATACTCGCGTGCATGCCAGAGATGACACGATAGAAGACACGCTTCTCCAAGCACTCGTCACCGGCCTCTAGGCCAGTCTGGGCTGCAAACGGAGCATTAGGCTGCGTCTCGCGCATCTGGTCCAGGGCCTGCTGGCGCCCGACAGCCTCGAGAACCTGACGGAAATCCTGTGCCGCGGGGCCCTTGTGGGGGATCTGCGACTGTCCTAGGGATGCCGAGTGCGGGAAAGAACTCTTCTGGAAGCAGTTCTCGCGGTAGATGGCGTCCCAGACTTGAGCGGCGCCCATGCCAGCGTATCCAGTGAATCGTTCGGGGTTGCGGAGGAGGCTTACGTAGTCGCCCTTGGAGCTCGCGCTCTCGTCTTCGGGGACGCAGTAGTCTCGCTCGTCGCACTCGTCGTCGTATTCCACCACACAGCTCTCGCCGACCTCCAGGCCTAGTTTTCCTTGTAGCGGCCGCTCGGGGCGCTCGTGTTGCACTTTTCGAGGAGGGTGTTTCGCCAGCGGTCCTTCCAGCTTTCCGAGCTCACTCGCCCTCCAGACTTCGGGAATGTCCTCCTCATTGTCGAGCGTCTCTACGGCGCAGGCAATGTTGCCGCACATGCCATTTTCATCGTTCCAGAAAGGGCACTTCTTGTGGAAAAGGTTCAGTCGGTAGTGTGAGAAGAAGTCGGTCGATCTCGTCAGGTCGTCGACCAGGGGTTTGACCTTGGTGTTTAATTTATCGAGGGTAGAGTACGAGGCGCATGCGTCGGAAACAATGGCCTTTGGGGAGATCTGGTACGACGAGTTAGAGAGAGAAATTCGGTACTCAGAC